AAGATTTTCTTCTGGGCCCCCCTTTGGATTACAATAAAATTTCCACGCCATTGAACATTGAACAGCTCCCTGAGAGTTTTTTCTTTGTACTTTAATCCTCCCATCTTTTCAGTGGCTGTAGTGAGCCTGCTTGTTGCTGCAGATCTTCTCAAATCTGGGTTGCAGTGTCACAACTGTCCATTATTCTCAGTCAAGCAAGCGCTGTTTTTTTTTGTCTTTTTTTTTTTTTTTTCATTCATCCATACCGCTTCCCGCGGTAGGGGGCGCGCCCCACACTTTGGGAACCACTGATTTAGATCATCTTTCTGCAGAGGGCCGCAAAGGTTCACAGCAAAGTTAACTGTATTTAGCGTAAAGCTTCCAGACCTGTTTTAAATGACGGTCTTTGGATTGACAGTCCTTAAATTGGCCCCCTGTTCAGTTTGGGGATATTTACAATTATTAAAACACCAGGACTTTATACAGCAGAGGCAATGAAGGCATAGAAGTCATTAGAAGGGTTTTTACTTCTTCATGTCTGGACGTGTGGGGCAAATATTTTATCACAGTGATGATCGCATGAACGCAGTGCGCTTCTTGAAGTCTGCCATGATGTCATCGCAAAGGATGACCAACATGAAAGGGCATCACATGAAAGGATCTGCCTGGACAAAATAAAAGGCTATTTGGTGTCTGCCCACTGCACATGCAAAGCAGGGTAAGATGATATGCTATTTATCTTATGTTAATATTAGATACAAGCCATATATTTTTGGTATTTAATTTTTTTATAGAAATGTTAGTCTGTAATATAAACCTTTTGTTCAAATGAATAGACTTAAAGAATGTTTAAATGACGTGTAGATTTCAGATTTAGCACATTAGTTCAGTAACTTGACCGCTAAAAAAACAATACGCAGCGCAAGAGTTTTCGCTCTCCAGCAGCAGACTGGGGGGCGGGGTCTTGCACATGTGATGTCATGCTTCAACATGCCCATAGATGCCCCGTTAGAATTGAAAGACAATTGTTAAACTCCTAAAGGTGATGCTTTATCCAGAGCTAAAGTGTAACAGTTCTGTCAGTATTAGAAATGAAACTTTATCTTCTGTTTCTAACAAAAGTAAAACCCTTAGAGGCAATAGTGTTTGCCTTGTTGCTATAGATATATTGTGGCGTATTATATTATATAGTGGCAGGAATTATGCTATAATTATTGTTCACAGATTGTTCACACTTCTATAGAAGTAGTGATTAAAAGAAGTTACATGAAATATCAGGGGTTTCGAAATAAAGCTAAATGATTATAATGATTCTAACCTATCATTTAACCAATCTGATGGTTGAATAACCTAAATAATTTATTAAATAGAAGAAAAAATGGATAGTTTTTTTTAAATTAGATTGTGATCATTACAGAGCCTGTAATTGGGATTTAAAAATGTAATAATGTTCCACCACTAGTTGATATAATTGTTGAGTAGCTGTGTAAATGTTAGCGCAAACACCAACCTAGTTTTTTTTTTTTAGTCTTAATAAATTAGGACTCTGATAATAAAACTGTACCTTCTGAAATGCAGAGAATTTCAGCAAAATATGTTCCGTTAACCAGCAATGGAGATTCCCTGTCAGGCACCTTCATCAGTTTTATTTCCGCTGTGTCAGGGTCAATGGTAATCCAGTTGTTAGGGTCGTTTCCTTTTAAGTATCTAAACACAATATATAGAAAATATTATATAAGTCAATGTGACAAAAAGAGATTTTATTACATTTTCTAAGGTCTTAGATTTGTTTAATCACTGACTTGACGTTCTCTGCTGGTTTCTTAGTGTCTTTATCCATTGCAGGATAACTGGAGATGACTTGACCAACGGTGAAGGACTCGCTTCCTTCTGTGACTGGAATAGCTTTGACTGCTGGTTCAAAATGTGGTCCTTCTGCCTGGTTCTTCACATTGATTTTGATTGGATAGGTTTTGAATTTTCCACCGGATCCACCGGTTCCAGAGGAGCTGCTGGAGCCACTGGAGCTGCTGGCGCCACTGGCACCAGAGGCACCACTGGCTCCAGTGGCGCCGCCGGAGCTGCTGGAGCCGCTGGCACCGCTGGCACCAGAGGCACCACTGGCACCACTGGCACCACTGGCACCACTGGGACCTCCTCCAAAACCAATACTAGCTCCACCATTGGGAATAGATCCATCAAACATGGGGGCCTTGTTGCGCACCGCTAGCCCTAGGTCGAGGTTTTTTACATCCTCAAAGTCCACAGCCTGGAAAATAACAGAGAGAAACAAAAACTTGTGGAGTATTTACACTGTGGCATGTAGAAATAAACGCATTCGGCCTTGTAGTATCGATTCTGGCATCTGTACACCCTGGAGGCCAAGACCTGCTCTCCACCAAATCATTTTGAAAGGCAAGTTACACAATGCTAACATGGGGAGAAACGGCGCAGATGCAGATTATCACTTTTTTGTTATAAGTTTATTGAAATCTTATGTCTCTTTGCAGTTTTATAGGATGTTCTTGATTCTGGGAATAGACATTTTCCAATCCATCAAAAATGAAAAGACTTGAACCTGAAGAGTAAAGAAACTTTACACTTTCTCTTCTTTAAAACCAAATTCTTTCAAAGTTTTCCTCCTCCTTAAGTGTTTTGCCCTCTTCTATTGATAAAGGAAGAGTAAGCAAGGCAATAAACATTGATGAAGCCCTATAATAATTTGTACTTTCAATGCATCTGATGTCAGAAATTTTTAGTCTATTGCTTTTGTTTTTAAAGTTGATTTTAGATTTAAAGGGGGAAAGATAATGTTTGAAGCCAAGTTGTCCTAAAATTTGTCAAGTATCTACTAGCGCTGGTTTCCAGTTTCACAATATTACTCAGTATGAAAAAGTAATTGTTTAAAAACTGCAGATTTTTGTAATACCATCAATAAGAGAAAGTGGTTAGACCTCTTATACCCCTGTTTAAACCCAGGAACATCCAGCTGTTAGGTACAGTGGGAATTGCTCACTGACTGGTTTGAACCGGGTCAAACGACTCGGAAAACAACCTAAAATCGCCTTCAAACGGGTCCGCTCCATTTGGGATACAGTGGGAACACCAGACCCAGGTCCATCCGCTAATTTATGTGATACCACTGAGTGCAACAAGCCTATGTCAAAACATCCCGTCATTTGCGTCCGATATAGCAAGGCGAAAAAACTCTGCTAGCATTCAATAAACATGAAGCAGCACTGGTAAGAGAGATTAGAAGGGACAAAATAGCCAAATAATACAGCACACTTACAACACCCTAGCTTCCTTAAGCAGGGCATACACTGCAGGAGTTTTTGCCCTTTTTGGGCCAATTTTCCAGTCCTGCGAGAATTTTTGGGATTGGGCAGGGTTTCGGCCTCATCGTTCAACCTGCAATCAGCCTCTCACGGCCACCTCCTGATTGGGAATCTTAGGCCGCCCTCGTGAGGAGTTCATGGGCAAATCCTGCTATTGAAACAGAGCTATGAGTGTCTAAGAGCTGATTTACCAGAACTTTGCGTATTGCGCATGTGCAAACGAGGGAATTCTTCATCGTTCAGATTGCCGAGTGCGACCAACGCAATCTCTTGGTGCTGAGTTGAACGTCTATTTTTTGGACGTACAGTGTGTGCAGGTAGATCGCATCAGAGCATGGGGTTGTATAGGTTAAGAACAGTCTGAGGAGTGTTGACCTAGTGGTTAGAGCAGTGGGCTGTGCTCTGAGACGGTTGTAAGAAGGTTGTAAGTAGTTCGATCCCCAAAGACTGCCACTCTGGGTCCCTGAGTAAGACCATTAATCACACTCTGCTCCCCTAGTGCCGCACAATGGCAGCCCACTGCTCCCCAAGGGGAGGGGTTAGATGCAGAGTGAATTTCTCCATTGTGAAATCAACCAAGGTCAATTTCTATTTCTAACAGATTTTGTGAGCCGTGAACTTTTAAACCCTGTAGTTTCGTTGTACAGTTTGAGCTGTAGCCGAGTAGAACGATTTGAAATATTGTACAGTGTATGCCCGGCCTTACACATTGCTCTCCATTGTTTACTTTCCTGATTTCTGTCAAACTAATGACACCATCAATGCTAAACCATCGTGATGGTGTCTCAAGATGCTAGGGCATCTAGGGACCTAACCCTCACTGTTTGCCGAATTGAAGGTGCAGTTTAGCTATGGCATCTTAAAATGAACGACTACCTTTGGCATCGGGCATTAGTGAAACTAATTCTACTGTAGTAGACAGCTTGGTGATTGTTAAAGTCGCAACTTGTAGCCATGCTATTTTTCCTCCCTCGTTCATACTTGTTTCTGCTGCTTTTTGCATACTTGTGCAATTTATAAATGTTTTTATCAATGCTGCTTACCTTACCAAGGCTGCACTTTAAAAAAATGAAATAGTCTAGAGAGCTGTACTAAACAAAGTTTCTTTCTGTTTATACTTGTGTGCACAAAATAACAAATAAAATCTGTCTAAGCCTATGTCTAAAAAATATTCTTCCTGTAAGAATGGAGAAAAAAAACAAGGGATCAGCTGGATGGTAAAATATATGTGGTCAGGTCACACATCGGAAACAGATGTGAGCCTCCTTGCTAAATATTTAGACCAAGATTGGGATTTAAAAAGCAAATGTCTTCAAACTGCATTCTTTTCAGAAGATCATATAAGGTAGAGCATTATAAGCCTGATCCGGTAGTGGAGAATTACTGTCCAGACAGATGTTACTCCTGGGCCTTTATTGTGGCTCTACCTTTCTTACACCTCATACAAAATATTTAAGTTATCGAGCTGTTTTCTATGTTGGTGCTGCTATATGATTGTGCTGCTGCAGGACATATGAACCTCCTTTCTTGTTTCTCTGACTCTGACTAACTGGATGTGCTCTCTTCATCCTCTGACATGGGAGCTGGCTCGGAGCTCGTCTGCCTGGCTGTGTGTTTCCTGGACGGGGCCGCCTGTGGAGCTGGTTGACAGTTGCCTTTTGTATCTATGCTTCTTTTTCTATGTCTGCTTCTGTCTCCTTGAACCCTAGTCAGCCTCAGCAGATGAGCCTGGTTCTGCTGGAGTTTTTTTTCCTGTTCAAAGGGAGTTTTTCTCTCCACTATCGCTACATGCATGCTCAATGTGAGGGATTCAGTGACAAAATGTCAGCCAAGGTCATCGCCGCAGGGTCATCCAGGAGGAGCATGTCTTGCAAGACAACAATTGGATGCAATAAAATGTTTTTTCTAACCAATCTGTATTCTCTCTGTAAAGTGCCTTGAGTTGACATGTGTTAGGGTAGTAACAGTAATTTCTGGTAGACTGAGAGAAATACATGCATGAAAAGGGCCTCAGTGAATATAGACAGATTTGCATCAGGACTGAGAGTGATGGTGAAGGCTAGCCTCGTGAGACCATCCTGATCTTGCGAGCTTTCAAGGTTTCACTCGCTAATCAGTCTGGAGACTCTCCGTTAAAGAAAATTGGAACCGTTCACCAAACGAACGTCCAATCAGCGTTGGCTTTGAGTCGAGTTGAGGTGTGACGCAACGAGAAGCGCGACAGTTCAGTCTAAAGAACATGGCGGCTTCAGCCGATGAAACTAGCGTTAGCGTGGCTATCAAGCAAGTTTTATCGGAATTACAGAGTATTTCTTCACTAATAGAAGAGCAAAACACTGCTCTGGAGGCTTTTCTCAGAGGAAAAGATGTTTTTGCTCTTCTCCCGACTGGTTTCGGCAAGAGTTTGATCTATCAATTGGCTCCTCTTCATCGTCGCTCTGTTAGTACGTCATATGCTTCGTTGATCTGATTGGTTTATTTGGCCCGTCTATCACCAACATAGGCCAATTAGCTAACCAGTATTTTCGCCCCTTCCCAAAATTATTTCAACGGAAGGTTTCCAGATGGATATGCGGAGCAAATCCATCTGGCGGAGTCAGGTTAGGTGAAGGCCTCATCCCTCAATAACTGCACTCGACTGCAGTGCTTTGGGTATCACCTTTATTCGACTTTTGGTAAGCAGAATTAGTAAGTACCAATCTTATTATTAGTATTATCTTAGTTAGTAATTCTAAGGGTCAGGGTTAGGGTTAGAACAAACTTTGGTTGTGGTGGAGAAGAAGTGGTTTCCTTCAGTTTTTCTTGAAAGAAAAAGAGAGACTTTGTTGTTTCTCAAGAACAGTTTTCCCCACCCCAACACAAGCTGGTGACAGTCACCCACTGGATAGGGGTCACACCATTAAAAAGGTTTGGTGGTATCGGGACAGCGCCAAGACATCTCTGATTACTCTGGGCCAGTAACACCTCAAGGTGCTTTGTTCTTTCCTGGTAAGGCCGAGAGGTGCTGGAGTGTATGCATGAGGTCCTCTGTCCGCTACTGGAGGTCCCAGATTGATTCTCTGGTGAGTGTGTCATACCTTAAATGATGCTCCACCTCCTCAGAACTCAGATTCTGAAAATATCTGATGATGAAACAGAACTCAAAAAGACATGAAGGAGACATTCATGGCATACATGGATGAAAACTATGCTGACCATGAAACAAATGATCTGCTGGATGTTGCAACAATGATGGACCCATGGTTTAAAGGACAACATATGAAGCAGGGAAAGATTGATGCCATGAAAATGAGGGGCGTGTCTAAGATGTTCGAGGAAACCAGAACCTTTCCATTTCAGCCACAACCCAGGGAGCAAGAGATAAGGAGACAGAAGCTGCTACAGTGGCTCCCAACCAAATGAAACAGGGAAAATCCTTTAGGGGTTTTGGAAAAAAATCATGCCCCTCACACCAGCACAGAACTCACTGACAAAGAAATGGTAGAAATAGAGTTGGACAACCACATCCTGGCACTGAAACTCATCGACTGCTGTGATGCAAAAACACCTCCCAAGCAGGAACTGCCTAGCAAAGCGCTACTTGTGCATCCCAGCAACCAGAGGCACCTCTGAGAGGGTAATTAGGACAGAGGGTCATCCTGCAAACTGCCACAGCGCACTTTCTTAGTTTTTTGAGGAGTTGTTTAGTTTGGACAATAGGTGACAGGAAAGGCGGTATGAGAAAGAGGGAGAGACATGCGACAAAGGTACACGAGTGGGATCGAATCCGGGTCGCCCGCGTCGAGGACTGAGGCCTCCATGCATGAGTCATGCGCGCTAACCACTGGGCCACTGAAGCATGCCTACATGGCGGTTTTAAAGGCAGAAGCAGTAGATAAACGCGTCTTCCTCGCCTGGAACCCGTAATATCTGGCTTTGGTTGACGCACTGAGGCAGGATTCGATTATCAGGGCAAGAAAGTTTATTTCATTCATTTAATTTTTGTCCTTGAAAGCTGTTAAAGTTTGCACAGTCCTCATTGCTTTTTTTAAAGCAGCAACAGTGGCTCTTTCACTGTTAGGATTCTAGATAATTGCTTTGGTTGTTTTGTATTTTTTTTATCAAACTATATTCTTAAAGAACTAAATGTACCTTTCTTCTTCATCTTAAATTATTGTAATATTCAACATGTTTCCTCTTTTTAAAATAATATTTTTTATCCTAAATAAGATTAAAAAGGCCTCGTCTTCTGCAACAAGTCAGTTAGACAGAAAACTTTGAAGTAATCTGACTGGATGATAATTGATTATTCTCTGGTAGGTGCCTTGAGATTACAAGTTGTGTAAGCTGAACTGAAATATCAGCAGAGGAGGAATCCTTTGGGGTCCAACCACACACCCTAAGATGTAGAGAAAAAGAATAGCAGGATACCTTATCAAGCATTAAGATGCCTTCGCCGGTTATGGGATCTTTTTTTATGCTGAAATATCCGGCCTCGTTCCCTTTGACGATTTCATAAACAACATCCCAGTTGTCTGTGTTCTCTTCGTCCAGGTCTTCTGCTTTGAGCCTCATCACCTCAACATTCTCTGTGTTCTCCAAAATGGTTGCCTCATACTGCGAAGAAGGCACAGAGGGTAAAAGGATGCATTACAGTAATATTCATCACAGGACATTTGTTCATCAAAATTCTTTGACTTAAAGATGTTGCCAAGTTCTACAGCGTATAAAAGCAGTGACATCAACACACAAACGCTGCATGAAGGAACTTACTTCAGATTTTTCTAGAGTTGGAGGATTGTCATTGACATCTTGGATTTTGATAGTGATGGTGCCTGTTGTAATGTGTCCACCTGGCTCACCGTATAGATCTGCAGCAGTCACTGTTAGAATGTATGTATCTTCTTCCTGAAAGGAAAATAGCAGTTAGAGCTAGCCTAACGGTGTTAAGGCCAGTTCCTTTTCTACACCCCATTTTCAGACACTTTCAGGTGATGGTAAAGCTATAAATAACGACCCGGCTTCATCATCGGCTCTTGTTCTCTACTTTCGAGACCTTCCTTCATCTTCTCCACTGTCCAACGTGTGGTTTTTAAATGTACAGTGTGAGCAGGTAGATCCATCAGAGCGTTGGGTCTTACAGTCAAAGAACAAACATCATGAGCCGTGAACTTTTAAACCCTGCGGTTTCGTCATACAGTTTGACCTGTAGCTATGTACAACGATTGAAAACATTGTACATTGTATGCCCAGCTTAAGCAATAACCCTCTGTTTGCGTGTTCCAGTGGAGGGTCCACCACATTGAGGGCCATCCCAAATCACATAGTAGTAGAAAAGGCAAATGGACCTTTAATTAGCCATTAATTAGCGAGTCTGCATCAGTGTAGATTGGCTGGAATTTGGCAGAGGGTCTAACTGCAATTTAATGGAGGTGAAAACATTCAAATCTAAGTTCTGCCAATTTGCTGCATCTTCGTTACATTGATAGAAAATCACAGGTTAGGGTAAAAGACATCTGGATCCAATTAAAAAGTGTATGATTTCATGTCATCCTGCACCAGAGAGCCAAGCATGTCACTGCCCGACCCATACCAATAGCACGACCCGTACCAATAGCACGACCCGTACCAATAGTACAACCCCTACCGGTAGCATGACCCATATCGGTAGCACGACCCATACCGGTAGCACGACCCATACCGGTAGCATTACCCATACCGGTAGCACGACCCATACCGGTAGCATTACCCATACCGGTAGCATGACCATACCATCAACTCATTGCCGCAACTAGATATACTTTTGGGGCAATGTCAATTTTACTTTGTAAAAAAAGTGTACTGAACTATAATGTGTTAAAGGGTTATAATGTATTTCCTGAGAAAATAAATGCATTTAAATGCTTTCTTTTTTATCACTAGTTTGAGACTGAAATGGGATGCTACGCTACTTCCAGGAGCTAACTTTATCAGCTTCGGATTTAAACATAAATCTAGTCTTTTTGAGTTTTATGTTTTCCTTTCATGTCAACATTATGGTATAGAGTGCGTAATCTAAAGAAAGAAACAACTAAAATGCAGATAAACATGGTTTAATCATATCTTGCCGGACTGCTCTGAGCATGTTCCATTATGACATCAGAGAAGCAGTTTAACTGAGAAAATGCAAAAAAAGTCAAATTTTATCAAAAAACAAATCATAAAATATAAAGTACTTTTAGTACCAGGATTACATTATTTATGGCATACTGGATGAATTTAAGTTATTTCCCTCTGGGAATATTAGAGTGTTTCTGATTCTGATTCTGAATATCTGATTGCACATGGGCAAATAAGCCGATGGTACGGATCGAATAGGCAATTTGTTGCCATAGCAATGACTGCTTCCCATATCCAGCAGAGAGAAGAGGTGATTGGTCCATTAGTTCTGGTAACGCAGGTCTGAGGGCTTAACATCCTGAGTCCTTCAGCAGCTACTTCCGAATGTTTTCCTCTACAAAGGCAGATTTTCTTGGAACCAACTAGCTTTTTAATGGCTTTTGTAAAAATACAGTTTGTTTGATAAAACCTCAATTATGTTTATAAAAAAAAATCATACTTCTCTGTCCAAGTTAGAATTGCTGACATAGATCTTGCCGTCCTTGCTAATGCCAAAGTCTTTGCGGGGTTTCTGGTCTATGATGGAGTAGGCGATCTTAGCGTTGGCTGTTTCTGGATCATCTCTATCAGTGGCAGTGATTTGTATAACTGAAGTTCCTGCCAATTAAACCACAGTGGAAAAAAAATTCACTCAACTAAAAGTTTAGTGTAAAATGCGACAATAAATCCATCTGTAATGGATTTCAAGATGCCATTCAAATCTAGATCACTTTAAACAGAGACATTTTTTAGTCCTCAGAGATACCAGCATCTTTACTCTTTTATATATTTGCACCACTGACCTGGAGGGCTGAGTTCATACACTTTAGCTTCCATCTTTGAAGGAAATATTGGAGGATTGTCATTTTCATCCAAAACCCTAATGTCCAGGTAAATGTGTTCCTCTGCTTCACTTCCATTTTGAAAATGAGCAACACCTGAAAGCTGAAAAGGATAAATCTGAATTATATTTTTATCATGTTTACAGAACAGAAATTATACGAGCAAAATATATTAAAATGAATGTAGCAAGTGCAGATATTGTTAGAATAGACAGGCTGCTGCCTTTAAAGGCCGCCCCAAAACCAGGGCTGAGGTTCTTCTGGAGACGACTCACTTTATACGCCGGGCTACATGAAGAGAAATCTTTATGAGAATACAAACAGTAACATTGGTTAAGAATTTATTTATTTTATTCACCAAAAGAAACAAAACTTTCCACTAAATGGAACTTTCCATGTTTCTTCCGGAAGAAACTAGAAGAAACTGGCATTTAACCCCTGCCCTTGGGGAGCAGTGGGATGCCATTGTGCGGCGCTCGGGGTGCAGTGTGGGGTTAAGGGTCTTGCTCAGGGACCCAGAGTGGCAGTCTGTTGGAGTGGGGCTCGAACTCAGAATCTCAGGACCACCACTCCCCCCCAAATATTAGTGTAGTTCATGTGTGTAAAGCCTGATTAATTCTAGACCCCTTTTCTTGTGGAGGCAGGGGTTGCTGGTTGAAGTCCCTGCTCCGTCTGTCTCTGTCATTCTGTCCTTGAAGAAGAGACAGGCCTGAAATCTGTACAACAGCCTGACTTTGTCGTTATCCCAGAGCAGCTAAGGCTGCGGCATAGCTCACCTCTCTCAGTTTGGGGATGTCAAAGTAAAGTGCTTTGGACTGTATTAGAACAGGCCAGCTACCATTTCTCCTTTTGTTTTTGCTCACAGTATATATATAAATACATATATATATATATATATATACATATATATATATATATATATATATATATATATATATATATGAGTTTGCAGTAGCAGCCGGTAACTTACGTTGTATAGGGCGATGTCCTCCCTGTCAAGGATTTTGGTCACACGGACATCTCCAGTATTAGGGTCAACCACAAACACATGAAAAGGGTACTGATTTGCTCCGATGCCCTCTAAGGAATAAGTAATTTTTTCCGTCCCTGCATGGTCCGATCGGATCTGAAACAGAAGGGGACTCTGATTTAGTGAAGGAAACCATCTGAAGCCATGCTGCAATGCTCCACCAGGTGAAGGAGCCGTTCGAACTGTCTTCGCTGTCAGAAATTTATTTTTAAAAAACAAAACATGCAAAGCAACAGAAATGAACCTAGAGGAGATTCTGTCTCCCTTCTTCCACCAAATCCAGGATTTATTTTCCAGTGAAGTCGCTCACCTTGGCAATAGATAGCTTCTGGGTGTGGTCCTCATTCTCCTTCAGGGGTTTTGGAGGGACCACCCACTCTCTTTTTTGTCGCACCAGATGCTCTCTGGAATAAGCTGAAACCAAAACAGCAGCCTGAATCTGTGAAGACAGGAAAGGTCATGTTAAGGTCAAATTTAACAGAAAACTGATGTTCCCTTTAATTTGAAAAAAACTGATCTCTGTTTTATTTGGTTCTTATGCAGAAGAAAAAATTTAGTTGCAGCAAAATGAATGAATCATTATAATAATGAAATAATTACACCAGATCGTCTGTAAACTGAACTTTCATATTATTTTGGCGTTGCTGCCGAGCCTGCAGGCCTAGCAGGTTAACCGTGGCAGTGCAGGCTGACGCAGGACTAGCTGCTGCTTTCACACCTGTTGTTCAGAATCCACCATTTCATCTTTGGAGGAGAATCAGCAAGAGTGCAAACTGGAGGCTGTTCTTTCTTTCACCCCCCTGATTGACTAAAGCCAGACTTTGTTCACCCCTTCTGCTGAACGTCCAACTGTTTCCCAAACAGGTACGAAGGGAGCAGTTTCAACCCGAGGGCGACGCATTATCAGTCTGACGCTGAAGGATGATAAAAGTCATGTTTTTGAATAATACTGCCTGGACTTTTTAATGAGAACTTTAAAAGATTTACCTCAAAATGAGAGGAACACAGCTTCAGATCGGACTGTGTTCGTTTTCAGCCCACCGCTCTCCGTACCCGACTTTCTTAACAACTATTTAACACTTAAATCATTAAGCACCAGAGTATCTACCTTCAAAACAACAGACATTATGTTGATTCTTATTCTAGAGTAAAACTAAATAAAATGGCTTTATTACTTCAGCTAAGGATGAATATAGGGACTGAAAAAGGACACAGTCATTTCTGTGGCATGGTTACACTAAGAGACCCTTATGGAGAGGCCTGCAAGGGGACGTACAGTTGGAGTAGAGCTAAGAGACTTCGGTGCACAAACTTCTCTCCACTTTTGCAAAATCTTGTGAAGCTTACACTGTGTCTGTCTGGTCTTACTTTTTATAGGTTAAAAAGTTAAGCTCAGAGGGTCTTAGGAGCAAATTCCGGCTGAAATTAAATATGTGAATTAAAGCAAGTTCAGCTATAAAATGGAAATTAAATTGTTTGTATTTGTTCAGGAATATTTTAAGGTGAAACCAATATTTTAAATGTCACCATGTTTGATTTATAGGTGATTAAACAAAGGAAAAAACTGGAAAAAAAAATGAGCTCGCAAAATTTTTTTCCAAAATAAAAACTGCAAAACACTGTGAGAGCTTATTTGAAACTCTGGATGAACCCTCAGACTTTATAGATCAACATCTTGACTATAAATCAATCTAACTTGAACTGAATCTGTTGAAGCATGTTTGTTCCACAAAGGTTTTAGTGGGCAGGGAGCTAGGCAGAAATGGGATTTTTTTCCCACTCATAAAAGGGAATCTGGTCAAACAAATACCGTAAATCCTCTAATATTGGCCTGTATTCCATTAGCGGCCGGGTCTCTAATAATGGCCGGTCTCGCTCTCGGCAGAGGTAAATAATGTCCGGACTCGTATACAGGCAGGGGCTAAAATTAGAACCAACGTTGTTCCTGGGCAGTCCTCAACAACCTGTGATGGTAACATACAAGTACCACAGGGGGGCAGTGTTTGCTAACGAATCCAAGCCGTTAGCATGGGAAGTCCCGTCCTTACACTGAGATCGTAGTGACCTTACACAATCCTTCTGATCTGAAAGACACATGTGATCACCGGTAGGTCTGATGTTAACCAGGCAGCATTAAAATGACTTCGTTGTTCTGAATTTCCCTTGAAATATACGATACTGGTAGCCTAATTCCACTTAGCCTGCCTCAAATAAAATGTCGCTGTGATGGCAGAACAGTTTCCATAAAAATTTTTTTTACTTTGTTTCGCAAGTCAGTTTGGCCAAGATTCCATTCTGCAGAAACATTGCAGCTGCTGGAAGATGTCTGAATAATGTTCTGTATATCGTTATGGTAACTGTACTTATTCAATAAATGAACCTAGTATTTTATAGGTTCAAAGAGACACAAAATGTCGTTTTTTTCATTCCACTGGTAGTCTGTCTTGATCAAATAGAAATAGAGGCCTGCCTCTAATTCTGTCCTCCTTCCAATAATGGCCTGGACCAAGATGTACCTCAGTGAAATAAAGGCCCTGGCCTATATTAGAGGATTTACGGTATTCTGATTTCCATTATTTGAGACCTTCTGCATGAGGCAAAGTCTTCGCTCCTAAGATAAGTCATTTCATTGAAATTTACCAATAATATCGTCAAACTGAATAGAAAAGAAGAATAACAGTTGGCTCCGGTACCAGGCCCGCTGGGCTTAACCAATCACCTCACAGGCCATGAGCCGGCGAACTGGGCTGTGCAGACATAAATATGCACACCCAACCAGTTAGAGCAGTGGTTCCCAAACTTTTTGTGCCCAAGGCACACCAAAGGACAAGTAAAAATCTCAAGGCGCACTTATTGTGCTAGAGCATTTAAAACCTGTGTCATCCATCGTGTTTAGCAGAATATTTGTTACAATTATGTGCTAATTCAAAATAAAGCAGCCACACGCCTATTTAAATCATGGTTCACAAAATTAAAAACGAAGCAAAGAAAACTCAGCAGAAATTAAGCACAAAGAACTGTCAATGCAAGGAAGCTGCACTGTCCATTGTCCTGAACTACAAATAATAAATGTAACATTTTTTTTATCAGCATTGAAACGTGTGCTGTTGTAAATATTTTGTCTGCTTACAAATTAGTGAGACACGTGTGCCTGTCGG